CCACAAATAAACTAGTTCTGTTTATCACATTTTTATGAGAATAAAAATCAGGTACAGTGCCTTTAATATATAGATCATGACTGTGGCACAACAATAAATCTACAATGATACTGACCGTAAAAAACAAACTGCATAGGCAGCAAACTGATCGCAGCATTCGAGGATGTTAAAGTGGTGAGTGGTGGAGTCGAAATAGTGGGGGCAGTAGTAGTAGTAGTGGGGGCATTAGTAGAAGTAGTGGGGGCAGCAGTAGTCGTAGTATTGAAGGCAGTAGTACTAATGGGGGCAGTAGTAGTAGTAGTGGGGGCTGCAGTAGTAGTAGTAGTAGTAATAGTAGTAGTGGGGGCAGCAGCAGTAGTAGTAGTAGTAGTAGTGCGGGCAGCAGTAGTAGTAGTGGGGAAAGCAGTAGTTGTTACTGCTCTCTTTCTTCGTGCAGTCCTTGCATACTTGTAAGCCTTGGTTCCATCAGAGTAAGAGAGCATAACAGTCTGTCGTGGAAAGTCCTCCACCACCAATTCAAATTCATGGACGCCTTGGTTTCCAGAAGCCAGATAGTGCAGTGTGCATGTAGCCTATGAAAAGATGATAAGCAACGTTCATTTTCAACCTTCCCCCAAATAATGATAACAGGTTAATTGACTCTTTAATGCGTAAATCTGCCTTGTAATATTTTGCACCAAATCGCCGAAAACTTTGTGTCACTGTCTGTTACTTAAATTTGATTTTAAGATGAGCCTTGCTTTAACTCAATCTGACCAGAAGGAGCTGCCTTAGTTGGAACTACAACAGCTAAGATGGTTTATGCTCTTAAAAAGTCTCTCACACATAAGAGTTTGCAAGCATTAGCCAGCTGTTTTTCAGTAAGTCACTCTCACCTTTTTTGTTGAACATCAGTTTCAATGCAAGAGGCTGAATAGAGTACAGTGTAATAGTTTATTTCTTTGGACTGGAACTGTTGATAAACTTTCATTTTAATTTTGTGAATGAATTATTTATATTATATTGGTTATTTAGTGTACCTCTCCTGAGGATCTAATAAATAGTGGCTACAACCCTATGAGAAAATATAAAACGAAGTAGTCAAATCTAAAAACAATCTATTTTACTAACCTCATCTACTTGGAATCCCGCATGTCTTTTACAAGAATCACATTCTGCAGTCATTTTTTTTCCATATCTGCATCGAACAACATCTCCATCAGGGTCAAAGGCCATGGGTTTGTAGGTGCGTTTGCAGTTCTGAGGAACCCTTTAAGAGACAGAAGGAGTATTTAATTACTGTATTATTATTATATTATATCTTTTATCTTTATTTGGTGTCTTTCTGCCTATTGTTTGTCCACCAAGCAAATAATAATATAATATAAATCTAAAAGACTTTAATAAAAATCACTTTTATTAATGTTCTTTTATTAAAGGTGCACTCTGTAACTTTTCTGCTGATTGGTCGGCCATCTGCTTAGCTCCATGGAGATGTTATTGCGTTGCACAAAAGTTTCCCATGGTAAAGTTTACTTACTTTTACTTTGAATGTAGTTTTTAAGCAGTAAATCTTCCATCTTTGCAAGATGTGGGATAAATGACTTTAATGCCTATTGTGGAACATTTTGACCAAAGCAATAATTTAAAAAATCCCAGTAAGAATGTGCTGTGTATTTATAGTAATACAGATCACCTCTGTGTCTTGGCGTCTGTGTAAAAACTCTTTTTATCCCTCTAAATTCCTGCCAACTGCCCATTATCATTTGTAAAGCTAAACAATGTTAATCTTTCATTTACCGCAGAAAAGGGAGAATGCCAATATCAGGAGAGTTGTTTGGCTTCTTAGTGTCTGATCTTTTGCCCAAATCCACAGAAGTCAGTACACTCCATGATGGAGATGTAGAATTGGGGTACTCATAGATCCAACAGCAGCTGTATTCCCTGCAAATACAATAATATTCACTAATCCAACATCTGTATTTATGGTAATGTCTGTTATCATAGACACAAATATCTACACAAATACAAAAAAATGGCCTACCTGGTTTGGAAAGGTTTATCACTGGGGAGGACCTTAGTGACAACTGTTTCTGTTTGACACCACGTGTTTGCACTTGGGGGCCCATTGTTACTCCTGTCAATTACACCCAAGTCTATTTGGTCGTTGATCCCGCAGTTGGTCCAGTTGCCGTAACAAGTTCCATATTGGTATTGACATGAATGGAATGTTGCCTTGTTCCTGAGTTCCACCTGCCAAAAACATTGAATATTTATTTCATGTTGAGTTCGATTATGTTCACTAAAGGATGGCAGTAGCTCCAGTAGTTCTGTAACTCATAAAGGTTGAGGTCATTGTATCTTTGGATGAGACAGTTTCTTGAGAGAACATGTTTGTGAGATTTCATGATTGGGTGGTCGTCATTGGAGTTGTGGAGTCAGACTGCAGTGACTGGCTGTACCAGATAAAAGCAACTTTGAATATTAAGATAAGCGCCAAAAAGACCATGTTATAAAGGGCTGACTTGATCTCACAGATTACATGCTATGGTCTTATTTAAGATGTAGTACAGTTAGAAGAGTAGATACCTAAGATTGAACTGGATTTCTGTGTATCAGTAAATTATAATCTTAAGAAGTAGCCTTACCCCAAAGGTCCCATTGCTGAGAGGTTTTGCTCTGAAGGTCACAAGTCCCTCCAAAGAAGTGAGATGCAGAGGCCAGTGAGAGCCACAGCAGCTGCAAAACGACCAGTGTAGTGGAGAACATGATGCCCACAGCTCTCTGTTGCTCCTATGTCGCTCCTCTGTTGCTGTGTCCACCTCAGCATCATTTATACCACTCACCGGACGTATTGCAACAAAACAGTGGGTGAGCTGCAAAACTAGTTTGATGGAATGAAGGAAATAATGTCATGGCTGGTGCTCCCCTCCCTCTTTTCCCCTGTGTGTGTGTGTGTGTGTGTGTGTATGTATGTGTGTATGTATGTGTGTGGGCGGGCGGAGTCTCCTGGACCTGATTCGTCTCACCTGCAAGCAATCAAGAGCCAACTACTTGAGACCTGCTCACCTGTGAGACTCTGCCAGATTGTTTGCTACCAACACATGGTGAACCTCTTGGCTCCTGAATCTTGAGTTTTTTTGCCACTTACCTTTTTGCCTCGACATTTACTTACCTGCCCTCTCTGCTCTCCAGTGATCCTGCCGTCTCCAGCCCTGCTCCCACCAGCCCTGCTCCCACCAGCCCTGCTCCCACCAGCCCTGCTCCCACCAGCCCTGCTCCCACCAGCCCTGCTCCCACCAGCCCTCATTCTACCAGCCCTGCTCCCAGCCCTCATTCTACCAGCCCTGCTCCCAGCCCTCATTCTACCAGCCCTGCTTCTACCAGCCCTGCTTCTACCAGCCCTGCATTCTACCAGCCCTGCTCCTACCAGCCCTGCTCCCAGCCCTCATTCTACCAGCCCTGCTCCTACCAGCCCTGCTCCCAGCCCTCATTCTACCAACTGCAAAATACATTTTCCTTTTTCATTTTTATGAACCGTTCTTCAGTCAATTTTTTTGGGTCCTTCCACTGTTGCACCACATAACAAATAGATCTGTTTAGTTTTACGGTAGGCCTCAGTCAGTGGAGTTTCTAAAGAAGGCTACATGTCAGTTCTTAAATCACATGCGACTGATGCTGAACAAATACATACTGTACTTCGGTACTTAAGTGTCAAGTTTCATTGTGAAGCATGTTCAGCAACACCTAATGAAATGTAGTTAACGCTAGGTCTGTCACATCATAGTAATCTCATAATTACTATATCAACTTCTCGTTCAATATATGAAAGTGGGAACAATATTTTTTGGGGTCAGTATTTATCGTGTGTACAATTTCTTTGCACTACTGGGAAATTTGTGGTTATTTTTTGACTATACATCAAGATTAAAGCTGTAAATGGTTGAATTTTGCTGTTAATTTATTGCAGCTCATTTTTTTTTTTTTCACAGTATTTTAGATTTATAATAGTTGTTATGGTTTAAATCTACTCTTGGGTTTTTGTATTTGTGGCATAAATTACTTTCAATATTATCATTTATCATCTATATTTACTGCAGCAATATATCAAACTTCAGTTTTTTTGTTTTTTTTTAACATGACACAATGTTTCCAAACTCTAAAACAAAATGATTTTTATTTTTTAACTGACCTCTGACCTGTTGATTTTTAGAGAATGGCAGAACCAGAGCCTTTTAATTTGTGACTGGATGCTTTGGAGCCTTTTAAAGGCGTAACCTTCAAAGTCAAAATTGGCCAAGTTTCCCTTTGGGCTTGCTCTTCCGAGAAAGACTGTTAGGACTGACATAGTTTATACACTCTTCTCTGCTTTGCACTCGAGCATCTGTTGGCCTTTCATTCACAAGGTCGGTAGCCATGAATAGAAAAGTTTGGAATTCACTCTAGTTGAAGATACTGTCTACCAGCCAGATTATGCAGGGCTCTTTTGACCAGCCCAACTGTTGCTTTTGCGGTGCCGTTTCGGTGCGGAGCGTTTGCGGGGTGGATTTTCCATGACTACTCTGTTCCATGTTTTGCCGCTTCATTCTCAAGTTCTTGCTTGTCCACTCTGTCTCTGTACTTATACAGCTCTCTCAGTGCAGGTTTGGCTCCTACAGAGTTCGATCCTGGGTTCAGAGCGTGTTTGTAGAGGTCTAAACTTCAAAGTTATCAATATTTAATTTTATTTTTTGGCAGAGGACAGTTTATTAAAATCCAACCTAGTGATTTGATAAGCGCACCATTGGTCCATTTAGATGACAGCTTTGATGTAGTTGTGTTTTGGTGATATTTTTATAAATTCATCAGTGCTTGTTATTCTTGTTAAGGCCCACAGTAAGTCCTAAAGATATTTTTTTTAGACTAACAGTCAAAAATCATGACTTAAAATGTGTTTTTTACCTTTTAATAAAGTATATGTATTTTTCTGTCAGAGGGAGAATCTTAGACTTAGATTTACTGAGACATAGACAAACTTTATTGATCCACAAAGGAAATTATTTGGGCACAGTAGCTCGCACATCACAATATATAATAGTAAAAAAGACCAAAAGCATAAATGGTAATTCAAAATAAGTACCAGTAGCAAAAATAATCACAGTGTTATCGTGATATACAGTCTATCACTATATGGACTATTACATTAGCCAACAGTGCAAAATCTATAGTTTTGCATCATCTTGTGCTGTCATAGTTTACTTTAAATTGGTAGTTTAACTAGTACACCCTTATCAACACAAATTGGAGACTAATTCAAATTGCAATTGTAATTAGCTTTTGTTATATTTAGAGACATACAAGACAACGCTTGTAATTATTTGTAAATGTGATGTACCCTATTCTGTGTTTTTCTACTTTTTAGCCTTAGTTTATCATTGTACAAAATTGAAAAAATAACTTTAAAATCCTTCACCTTCACCCATAGTTCTTCATTAATCACCGTATTCTAATAGTGCAGTGTGTTTCTTGCATCTGCAGGTGGTGTTTCTAGTTTTCATCTGAAGGCAGAGCTTGGTATTTGACACTTGATCTCTTGGCTTTGTAGAAGAAGACTCCACAGATCATCCCCACAGCGGCCAGAGCACAGCCAGAGATGAAGACCAGGTTGAGGTTCAGGCCTGCAGAAATATACAAGGTGTGTTAAAAGTGCATATGACAGGTTAAACTACTAATTTCACTAAAACAACGTCAATATATTTAAGATTTTTTTACCCCTCTGCTATTGGACTGATGAATATTACAGGAACTTTCTACACTGGTTACTGTTACTTTTAACAACCTACTTGCACTTTTGTATTGAGTATCAAAGTCTATTTTCCAACTGTTAGCGAGCAGCCATAGTGTTAACAAAGGCCTAAACTTAAAGGACCATATTACTCTATTTTCTGGTTTATGTTTTACTGTTGTTTCCTCATCACAAACAGACCTGGAGTTGTGTTTTGTTTCATTCACATGTTTAACACACAAACCCTGCATATTTAGGTGGAGTTCTTCTGTCAAACAGAAAACACTTGTGATGTCATGTGGTAATACAGGAAGTGCTCCATGCTCCACTGTGTTTTTAAACTCCATACACCTTCACTAAAACCACTGGGTGATTTCAGCCCTGGATTTGCCAATCTCTACTGAACTAAAGATAATATGTAGCTGTTAAGATAAAAGGTAGCCGTTGACTTAAAAAAGATCGCATTATGACTTCACAAGGTGAAACAGAACAGTTTGGAACTCTGTCATTCTAATGATGCAGGATTACGCAAATGTGTAAATGGAACAAAACACAACTCCAAGTATGTTTTTGAGGAGGATACAACAAACACTATCCCACCAATCCAAGTAATAATACTTAGAAAAACAGGAAAACCTGTTATATGCATGGACTAATAAAAACACGGAACACGTCTTATTGTCTTTACTACTTTTTTCCACCATTGTACCTGAGTTTTCTGCCTGCACAGATCTCTTGAGGCGCAGTGGGCCCTGGGACACATAGTGGACTCCAGACTCAATGAAGGCCTCTCTCCTGGCTCTACTTGGTGCACTGGGCAGACATCCCCGAGAACAGCGAGTGTGTGAGTTTCCAGCTTCACACATCAACACCGAGCAGCTGATGTAGACCTAGAAATGTTCAAGAGTTTGAGAGATCATTTTAAAGGCTTGAAATGGTGTTGTTGTTTTTTTTGCAGCCAATGTTTGGGATGAAGCTAAGTAGAGGCTCTGTTCTGTCTGAAGCTCTGTTACTCAAACTGGACTTTAATTTGAGCCTTGTTTTAACCCAATATGACCACAAAGAACAGCCTTCACTGAAACTTCTGCAGATGAGCTGATTTTGTCCTGTGAACAAGTCCTTCTCAAATAACATTACAGAAATGAGCTAGTTTCACTCTTAAGTTTTTCTTGACTTACATTAGGAGCTTGTCGCCCCTCTTTCTGTAACTGCTGCACTGAGCCTCGTCATTTTTTTCTTAAAATGTTTAAATTAATCTGCTCTACATGATCCAGAATTTTTTTTTTTTTTCGCTATTTTGTATTTTGTTTATCAAAAATATTCTATTCGTAACATAAAGCCTGGCTCCAGATTTGCTCCTGTAACCATTAGCATCGCGAGTCTCAATTGAGTGGCGCTGAACTTTATGGATGACGTCACACTCACTTAGTCCACTTCTTTTATACAGTCTATGGTATCAACTGATTCATTCAGCTGAATACCTGGTCATGAAGGCCAATGAACTTTAAGGCCTCAAAGCTGAATTTGACTTGTCTGTTGTGACTTCTTGGATAGACGATCAGTGTTGAGTCTAAGTTGCAGCTGTTTAAAAGTACAAAGACAAAAGTGGAATTAGTTACACAAAATGCCATGTAAGCTTGATATAAGCAGCCCTTCAATATGTTGTCATAATCCTAAAATTTAAAACTCATTTTGATTCCTGAGAAAACACTCGATATAAAATTCTTTTTAGACATTAGGCTATTAGTAATTATTAATTTTCTACATAAAATAATAGCATTTGTTTATCTTACTCTAGTTCTGATAAAACTCAAGGTGAAACTGATCATGAAAGCTGAAATTGTATCCAGTTATTTGATTTTTCTTTTTCAATATTTCTCAAAATAATACTTGGTTAAATGAGTATCTAGTTTTGTACTATTTTTGTATTGTTAGTATCTGATTTTCAATAGTTTTGTCAATCCTAGTTCATAATATCTACAGTTTCACTAAAAGAATCCACTTACCCGTTCTCAATGAGAGTGTAGGGATGGGGGTAGTTGGGGTTGTCATAGGGTGCAGCTCTGCAGGACTCCACAAACAGCTCTGTGTTGTTGACTATAGTTGTGGCTTCGATCTCCATGAAGATGCGATCGCCCACGTCATACTCCAGAGGGTAGAGCCGGGGGTCGATCCTGGAGACAAACCTCTGATCTGGGAAGAACTCAAAGCCGTAGGTGAACTTCCCAAAGCCCTTGTCCCACACTGTCACATTCTCCCTGTGAGCGCTGAAGGTGGCGGTCACGTTTCCTCTTTTGGAGTACTGGCAGAAGAACTTGATTTCCAACAGGTGTTTTCTGGTGATGAGGGCCGAGGTATTGTCCACCGTGGTGATCTCATTCATGAAAATCAGATTATCGTCATCCTCCTGCAAAGACGGAAATGTGATTAACTCCAAAAATTGTGATAACACCGAACATTACTTGAAAGTAAAATTTCTTATTATACAATCCCAAACTTACTATGTTTTTTAATGGAATGAACTATGCCAACAAAATAATGACAAATGAATCCAATTTCTTACAAACAAATTTAGAATTTTATTATGATGCCATCATGGAGGACAATAGGGGTTCTTGTTTTTTATATAATATATATTGAAATCATCATATAATAAACTGGTTGTTTTTCTTGTAAAACCACATTACAAATTAAACAAAATTAAAATAATATTTAAGTAAATGTTGGGAATGCAATCATATCCATGTAGAAGCAAATACACTTCAGAGACAAGTTTAAGCTGTTCTGAATTTAAAACCTCAGATTGAATGGTTCTTTGATGGTTAAACTCAGATCTATTAATACTTGAATAAATCTTTTACATTTCTCTCTTTCTTGTTAGTCTTACCTCGATCTGGGTGCCACAGGCGTTGAGGGACACTATGGCGACCACGTGGGTGCTGTTGGAGTTGAGGCTGCAGGCTGTGTTACTGGGATCAGACAGACGCAGATCTTGATAATGGAGTTGAGGCAATGTGGCTTTCTCCACCTCCACAATCATGGAAGACTCCAGACAGGTGACCACTGTGTTCACTAAAATGAGAAAATAAACAAAAGAGCCATATGTTTAAATGAGAATTGCTGCTTCTATCAGTTGCATTCACATTGTAGAATTTATTTAACCACAAAAACCAGGTCAACAAATCTGCAATAAGAGTTAAATTCCACTGTTGAATTCTGAGCTGTCGTCCAGCTCAATTATGAAATAGAGGAATTATAGAATGTTTTGATGTCATATGAACCAAACCTATTACTATAATCTTTCAGAAGAATTGTAATCACTTACCTAGAGTCTTTGTAACATTCACCAGCACACATCTCATCTCAGTTTGGTAAACGGAAGATCTGATTATATAAAACATAAAACAAATGACTTGAAAATAGTAAAATATGCATATTTATTTTGTATTAATGTTTAAGCCTTTGTAAACAGTCTATCCCTTACCCATTTTTAAATTCAACAGCAAAGCAGATTGGAAAATAGTGTCCGATGTCTTCAGGAATAGGAGTCCATCTGATGGTGAACTCATCTCCAGTGGTTTTGTGCTTGGTGATATTCAGTGGCCCGGTCATTATAAGGTCGTCAACTCTGTTTTGGTTAAAAATTAATCATTGTTAATATATCAGGTTTAGTTTAGATCTTTTTGCATTTTTGGTTTACTTACTGTGAATAAAGAGCTTCAGCCTTGACTTTTATCTCTACTTCTTTTCCAGCTTCTGCCAGAATGACCTCTCCGTCTCTGGGTGTTGGGGAAACATACTTCGGCAGATAATATCCTTCAGCACAAGTGGGAACAGGTGGGTCCACTGTAATAACACCATAATGTTAGTGTGTTGTGTTTCTGTATTAAAGGCCCTGTACCCGATTTTACCTCCATGTATTTGTGCTAAACCCGTCTGGCCCCTCTACAGAGATATTGCATAAGCAGCTCTTGAGGTCAAAATAAGTCAGCTGAGTGCTGTGTACATCTAAATGGAAAGTACGTTATCGCTTGATAATCAGGAAGTGCACATTAGCATGCTAGTTGTTGTTAGCTTTACTGTCACAACAAAACTCTGCTCCACTCCACAAATAAACTAGTTCTGTTTATCACATTTTTATGAGAATAAAAATCAGGTACAGTGCCTTTAATATATAGATCATGACTGTGGCACAACAGTAAATCTACAATGATACTGACCGTAAAAAACAAACTGCATAGGCAGCAAACTGATCGCAGCATTCGAGGATGTTAAAGTGGTGAGTGGTGGAGTCGAAATAGTGGGGGCAGTAGTAGATGTAGGAGCAGTAGTAGTAGTAGTAGTAGTGGAGCCAGTAGTATTAATAGTGGGGGCATTAGTATTAGTAGTGGGGGCATTAGTATTAGTAGTGGGGGCAGTATTAGTAGTGGGGGCAGCAGTAGTAGTAGTTGGGGCAGTAGTAGTAGTGGTGGCAGTAGTAGTAGTGGTGGCAGTAGTAGTAGTTGGGCAGTAGTAGTAGGGGGCAGCAGTAGTAGTAGTGGGGGCAGTAGTAGTGGGGCAGTAGTAGTAGTAGTGGGGCAGCAGTAGTAGTAGTGGGGCAGCAGTAGTAGTAGTGGGGGCAGCAGTAGTAGTAGTGGGGCAGCAGTAGTAGTAGTGGGGGCAGTAGTAGTAGTAGTGGAGGGGGCAGCAGTAGTAGTAGTGGGGGCAGTAGTAGTAGTAGTGGGGGCAGCAGTAGTAGTAGTGGTGAAAGCAGTAGTAGTAGTTGTCACAGCTCTCTTTCTTCGTGCAGTCCTTGCATATTTGTAAGCCTTGGTTCCATCAGAGTAAGAGAGCATAACAGTCTGTCGTGGAAAGTCCTCCACCACCAATTCAAATTCATGGACGCCTTGGTTTCCAGAAGCCAGATAGTGCAGTGTGCATGTAGCCTACGAAAAGATGATAAGCAACGTTTATTTTCAACCTTCCCCCAAATAATGATTGCAGCTTAATTGAGTCTTTCATGCGTAAATCTGCCTTGTAATATTTTGCACCAAATCGCTGAAAACTTTGTGTCACTGTCTGTTACTTAAATTTGATTTTAAGATGAGCCTTGCTTTAACTCAATCTGACCAGAAGGAGCTGCCTTAGTTGGAACTACAACAGCTAAGATGGTTTATGCTCTTAAAAAGTCTCTCACACATAAGAGTTTGCAAGCATTAGTCAGATGTTTTTCAGTAAGTCACTCTCACCTTTTTTGTTGAACATCAGTTTCAATGCAAGAGGCTGAATAGAGTACAGTATAATAGTTTATTCCTTTGGACTGGAACTGTTGATAAACTTTCATTTTAATTTTGTGAATGAGTTATTTATATTATATATTATATTGGTTATTTAGTGTACCTCTCCTGAGGATCTAATAAATGGTGGCTCCAACCCTATGAGAAAATATAAAACGAAGTAGTCAAATCTAAAAACAATCAATTTTACTAACCTCATCTACTTGGAATCCCGCATGTCTTTTACAAGAATCACATTCTGCAGTCATTTTTTTCCCATATCTGCATCGAACAACATCTCCATCAGGGTCAAAGGCCATGGGTTTGTAGGTGCGTTTGCAGTTCTGAGGAACCCTTTAAGAGACAGAAGGATTATTTAATTACTGTATTATTATTATATTATATCTATTATCTTTATTTGGTGTCTTTCTGCCTATTGTTTGTCCACCGAGCAAATAATATAATATAAATCTAAAAGACTTTAATAAAAATCACTTTCATTAATGTTGTTTTATTAAAGGTGCACTCTGTAACTTTTCAGCTGAATGGTTGGCCATCTGCTTAGCTCCATGGAGATGTTATTGCGTTGCACAAGTGTCCCATGGTAAAGTTTACTTACTTTTACTTTGAATGTAGTTTTTAAGCAGTAAATCTTCCATCTTTGCAAGATGTGGGACAAATTACTTTAATGCCTACTGTGGAACATTTTGACCAAAGCAATAATTTAAAAAATCCCAATAAGAATGTGCTGTGTATTTATAGTAATACAGATCACCTCTGTGTCTTGGCGTCTGTGTAAAAACTCTTTTTATCCCTCTAAATTCCTGCCAACTGCCCATTATCATTTGTAAAGCTAAACAATGTTAATCTTTCACTTACCGCAGAAAAGGGAGAATGCCAATATCAGGAGAGTTGTTTGGCTTCTTAGTGTCTGATCTTTTGCCCAAATCCACAGAAGTCAGTACACTCCATGATGGAGATGTAGAATTGGGGTACTCATAGATCCAACAGCAGCTGTATTCCCTGCAAATACAATAATATTCACTAATCCAACATCTGTATTTATGGTAATGTCTGTTATCATAGACACAAATATCTACACAAATACAAAAAAATGGCCTACCTGGTTTGGAAAGGTTTATCACTGGGGAGGACCTTAGTGACAACTGTTTCTGTTTGACACCACGTGTTTGCACTTGGGGGGCCATTGTTACTCCTGTCAATTACACCCAAGTCTATCTGGTCGTTGATCCCGCAGTTGGTCCAGTTGCCGTAACAAGTTCCATATTGGTATTTACATGAATGGACTGTTGCCTTGTTCCTGAGTTCCACCTGCCAAAAACATTGAATATTTATTTCATGTTGAGTTCGATTATGTTCACTAAAGGATGGCAGTAGCTCCAGTAGTTCTATAACTCATAAAGGTTGAGGTCATTGTATCTTTGGATGAGACAGTTTCTTGAGAGAACATGTTTGTGAGATTTCATGATTGGGTGGTCGTCATTGGAGTTGTGGAGTCAGACTGCAGTGACTGGATGTACCAGATAAAAGCAATTTTGAATATTAAGATAAGCACCAAAAAGACCATGTTATAAAGGGCTGACTTGATCTCACAGATTACATGCTATGGTCTTATTTAAGATGTAGTACAGTTAGAAGAGTAGATACCTAAGATTGAACTGGATTTCTGTGTATCAGTAAATTATAATCTTAAAAAGTAGCCTTACCCCAAAGGTCCCATTGCTGAGAGGTTTTGCTCTGAAGGTCACAACCCCTCCAAAGAAGTGAGATGCAGAGGCCAGTGAGAGCCACAGCAGCTGCAAAACGACCAGTGTAGTGGAGAACATGATGCCCACAGCTCTCTGTTGCTCCTCTGTCGCTCCTCTGTTGCTGTGTCCACCTCAGCATCATTTATACCACTCACCGGATGTATTGCATCAAAACAGTGGGTGAGCTGCAAAACTAGTTTGATGGAATGAAGGAAATAAACCTGTTTAGTTTTACGGTAGGCCTCAGTCAGTGGAGTTTCTAAAGAAGGCTGCATGTCAGTTCTTAAATCACATGCGACTGATGCTTGAAATAGCTGAACAAATACATACTGTACTTAGGTACTTAAGTGTCAAGTTTCATTGTGAAGCATGTTCAGCAACACCTAATGAAATGTAGTTAACACTAGGTCTGTCACATCATAGTAATCTCATAATTACCATATCAACTATCGTTCAATATATGAAAGTGGGAACAATATTTTTTGGGGTCAGTATTTATCGTGTGTACAATTTCTTTGCACTACTGGGAAATTTGTGGTTATTTTTTGACTATACGTCAAGATTAAAGCTGTAAATGGTTGAATTCTGCTGTTAATTTATTGCAGCTCATTATTTTTTTTTCACAGTATTTTAGATTTATAATAGTTGTTATGGTTTAAATCTACTCTTGGGTTTTTGTATTTGTGGCATAAATTACTTTCAATATTATCATTTATCATCTATATTTACTGCAGCAATATATCAAACTTCAGTTTGTTTTTTTGTTTTTTTTAACATGACACAATGTTTCCAAACTCTAAAACAAAATGATTTTTATTTTTTAACTGACCTCTGACCTGTTGATTTTTAGAGAATGGCAGAACCAGAGCCTTTTAATTTGTGACTGGATGCTTTGGATGCCAGTTTTGACTTCAAAGTCAAAACTGGCCAAGTTTCCCTTTGGGCTTGCTCTTCCGAGAAAGACTATTAGGACTGACATAGTTTATACACTCTTCTCTGCTTTGTACTCGAGCATCTGTTGGCCTTTCATTCACAAGGTCAGTAGCCATGAATAGAAATGTTTGGAATTCACTCCAGTTGAAGATACTGTCTACCAGCCAGATTATGCAGGTCTCTTTTGACCAGCCCAACTGCTGCTTTTGCGGTGCCGTTTCGGTGCTGAGCGTTTGCGGGGTGGATTTTCCATGACTACTCTGTTCCATGTTTTGCCGCTTCATTCTCAAGTTCTTGCTTGTCCACTCTGTCTCTGTACTTATACAGCTCTCTCAGTGCAGGTTTGGCTCCTACAGAGTTCGATCCTGGGTCTGACCAAAGCTTCTTGGGGTGACCCCTGAGAGCTGTGAAACTTTGGAAGGCCAGAAGGAAACCTTCAGACGACTAATCAATATCTTTTTGAGCCATTCAGTATCTTTTTGAATGGCTCTTGATGCCATTCAGCAGAATACAATGCTCCATACTTTAAGTTAAGTTATTTTCTTCACCTCATCTTTCACCATGAATGGTCCAAATAGATCTATAGTGGTGTATTCGAAAGGCAGGGCTGTATTTGCCTTGTTTTTCTTGCAGATTACACAGCTGTCAACAACTCATTTTGCAAGTCTCCGGCCCTTGATAACCCATGCTTTCTCTCTCATTCTAAGAAGAGTCCCTGCAATTACCTCATGATTTGCTTTGTGAGCTTCTCTGGCAAGCAAGGTGGAAAGCCAATGTCCAAAGGGTAGGAGGGGTACAGGCGTCTGCTCCTCCATAAAAGACTGAAATCTTCCTCCACACATTAATAATCCATTGCCATCTTTGTACACAGCCAAACTTTTGAGTGACATGTCTGAAAAAGTCTGTCCTGCTTGTACTGTTAGAAAGAGATCTCTGAGGGCTTCTTGG